TATATATATATATACGTATATATACGTATATATGAGGCCATGTGCGGGGAGTGGCGTTGCTCCATTGGTGATAGCTTGTGGGTCGATGGGCAAGATGATGTCTAAACGGAGGCGAATGTAAGAACTCCCCATCTGTTCTCTCTTTGTCCACCTTTTGCTCTCAAGGCACAAGTCCGACTCACCTGAACTGAAGACTCAACTTTGCGTAGACACTGCATCAGGAACTCTGTTCTGCTGCTGAAGTTCTCACTGTTGAACTACGTACTTTCCCCAAACCCTAAACCTTAAGCCCTGTTTTTCTGGTTTCTTGAAGTGCAACCCCTGCTGTGAAGTGCCCTGGACTATCGCTGCGAAGGATTGGGCCGCATTGCATTAAAACAACCCACTTCTAGCGGCAATGGATCCCATGCACTTGGAAAAGAGCCCCCCGAAAAATGAAACTAAACCCAATAAGCCCCATCGATTCAAGACCCCAAACTATATTCTGTAATCTTTAATATTATGACATCGTGTACGCCGATTTTACCCCTAAACTCCCCGACCTCTACGAACCCATGAGCAGGTCAAGTTGGAACAGCTCGCAGAAGCAAAGCGGGCGAGGGCCGAGATAGACAAGTCGCTCGGCGGATCTGGAATAGTATATAGAATATTGTTTTATGCTTAAGATTCTAACATCGTGTACTCCGATTATACAACATATGATTAGAATAGAATATAGCAAAACATAGTGTTATATACGCAGACGCTGCAGAACTGTAGTTGAATCGACAGGAGAAATGCGAGTCCCAAACCGTAAACCCGTAATCCCTGAACTCGACTCCAAAGCACTTATAAGCCCGATATTAGAAAGCTTTAACATGAGCCCTAAACTTTATACAACCAAAAAGACTCCGAGCTCGAATCCTCAACTCCCCACGCCTACACCCGAGCTCCGGGGTCTGTAAAGCGATCCTGTTCAGAACTGCACACCCTGATCCCCAGCCCTGACCTATGCCAGAGGATTCAGGGTTTGCATGTGCGTATTCTGTCACGACATGAGACATGGAACAGCGCAAAACCCTGCCATGGACTTCTCCCTACACTAGCGCTACACCCCAAAACCCTCAACCCCAGACCCAAAACTCCAAATTCGAGCCTGAGCCCGGCTCTCTACCTTTGAGGTTGAAGTCCATTACTGTGGCGGCGAAAGAAGACTTGGAGGCGGTGTTAAAGATGATTTCAGGGCTAAGATTCGAAGGGATTTAGGTCTAGAGAGTGAGGCTTTGGATTCAAGGGTTAGTTTAGGGCCGGGCGATACGAGTGTTCTTCTCAGAGTCCCGCCTTCTGTTCAGAGGCCTTCGTATGATGTCTCCCCATTAACTATCTTTGTTCATGATTCCTGGTTTCAACAACAGTACGCAACCCTTACAAGAAGGACCCTAGAAGGGTCGCTAATTTAGAGAACTACCCCGTGTACTCATGCCAGACAAAAGTCGTGCCAACCCCTACCATCGCCCATGTTTCGTGTAGGATTCTTCTGAGCTTCTTTGTGATATCCTAAGACATGCTAAGGCCTTACAAACCATTAGGCTCCTTCAGTTTAAAGTGTGATACAGTGGTCTGAATAACTTGCAACAAACATCCGTGACAGCCGATGCCCCGAAGTCGTTTTCTAGGCATTGAGGCCCCTATATGAAGCGGTCAAAGGCATCAAGCTTTGCCAAGAAAGCTTCCAGAGGATCTGGCGTGTAAGTTCCATAAGTTCAGCCGTCCCAGACTGATGGATGACCCTTGTACCCCAAATCAACCGCTTAATTCCGCACTTCCTCAAACAGAAGTAACCTGGCCCTACATGCCAAAGCCCTGCCATGGAACTCGACGATTCAATCCGAAGGACGGGAGCCCTCCTATGAAGAGACTGGGCTCTGGTCCTCAACCCCGAAGCCCCCACATCCGAGAAAAAAATGCCGGTACTTTCTAAACATCGCAGAACCCTATAGGACCCTTATGAATCTGTAAAGAATCGTGAAGAAACTGGCAATAATCTGATGCCCTCTTAAGCGCCTTCCGAGTGAGCCAGGGGGAGCTCTCTGCCCACTTCAAGTGTCTTGGCCAGGATTTGCTGGGTTTGTTTAGGGTTCAGGTTTGAGTGTTGAGGGTTCAGGGCTTTTAGGTTAGGTGGAGTTTGGGGCTAAGGCTGGGAGGCGAAGCTTTAGGGTCTGTATAAGGTGGCTGACAAGACAACAGAGTGTGGGATTTGGAGTTTAGGGTTTTGGGGAATTTGGAGTCGAGGGTTTGTGGTACTTTGGAGTTTCGGGTTTAGGGTAGTTTGGAGTCTGGGTTTAGGGTAGCTGTCGTCAGGGATTCCTTTTTTGTTTACGAAGTGTTTATTGCAAAGGACTATGGATGTTTGTTCAGGCTAGGGTCTAGGGATCATACTAGCTTGGGGTTGTTAAAAGGAACATATAACTCTCTGAAAGTCCCGTGTAGGAGCGTTCATTCTCCTTGATGTATTAACTCTTGTGTATACTGACATGTTTAACTCCTTTTCGTGCGGGTCTTATTTTGAGGCTGGGGTGCTATCGGCATTCAGGTTTGAAGTTTGTGGGTTCAGGCTTTTGGCTCAGTTGGACTTGCTTTTGCTCAACGGATCAGTGAAGATCATCACCTACCGGGAACAATTCCTAAGCCCTGCACCATACGACCGACCTTTAAACCGGTGATTTGGGTACGGCCCCTACTCAGTAATAGTTGAGTAATATTCATAATGAAGGTATAGTAGGATTTAATAGTAGCCCTATTATCGACTCTTACTGTATGGGGGCCGTACCTAACCGGTGATGCTGATGCCTGGAACGAGGTCGACGGTCCGCATCGTCGGTGAGATCTTGCAGATCTGAAACCTCGGGTCGATTCTGGGCCTCTCCTTCCTCTAAGTAGTATTGGGGCCTTAATATATATATATATATATATATACATATATATATATATATATATATATTGATTGATACTATTTTGAGGATTCCTTCGTATAATTTTAGTATAACATACCCTAAAACCCTATTGCCTCGAGTCACTACATGGTCTTCTTCAGGTTTAGCTTATTGCTGGCTCGGGTACGTACAGGCTCAGGGCTGACGGTTTAGGGATCGATGATGGGTTTCGTAGGGTTTAGGCTGCATGTCCTGGAGGAGAAGGCTCTGTGCGAAGAGCACGCGACCACCATGCGGACAATTGAAAGCTGCTGTGCTTTGCACGTGTGTTGTTAGAGGGTCTTTGGGCTTGGCGAACCTGGAGTAACATCCTTGCTGGTAGTGAAGGCAAGCCGTTGGCAGCCTACTACTGTAGGACTACGAAGATTATGATGACGATGACGGTGATGGTGGTGATGCTGTTGTGAAATGGCATGAAGGTGGTGGTGGTGTTGATGACGACGATGATGACACTGATGCTGATGGTGGTTATGGGGCATTATGATGGTGATGATGGCTTTAGTCATGGTGCAGGTTCTGAGTTTAGTGCACAGGGCTCTTGAGTAGGCTTATTCCACTTTCGGGAGTTTGGTGTAGGTAGCCTCACAGTTTTTCAAAACCAGAAGTATCTGGCAGAATTCAGTCTCGCCCTTCGGAAGGCAATTTCCCCCAGTTTCAATCTAGGGCTCACAGGGTATAGTAGTACAGGGCTATGGCGGCTCAGGGTTTACAGCTTTGGCGGCTCAGGGTTTTACAGCTTTGCACACGATTGACATTGTCGCGCAGGGATACAGATATCACCCGATCTGAGAAGGCGGTTCCTCAGGCCCCAGAAGCCCGAAAACCCACAAACCCGAAATGCAACCCCACCTCCAAAACCACCATAAGAAACCTATAGTTGAGGGTGTACTGTAGATGTTCGATTTCACTGGGTGTCTGCCCTGCGAATTCGATTCTCAATGTAGATGCTGGAATCGGCCTACAGTGCCCCAGATCACACATTGCACAGGTTGCTGTAAAGACGTCAATCTGGAGGCGCACGATACTCTACCTCTCGTCCCTTTTCTTGTGCCAGCCCAAAACCGACCGCCAACTAAACCCTCAACATGCCGTTAGCTTTCTGCGAATATACCCGACAGACCCCGAGCCCCATTAACCAAAAAAGTGTTCGCCCCCTTCCCGCCCCTCGTCAAGAAAACGCAAGTGATCCGTGTTTGCATTCTGCACTGGAAAATTCGGGTGGGCACCTGATGGCTGGAACGGTTGGCCGACAGGGCTGGCGCCGCTTTAGCCGTGAGGCAGGACTGGTTCAGCAACATTAGGTTCGAATACTGCTCTTAATTTGGTTCATACAGGGTTCCAAGGCATTTCAAGCAGTTGTACCGGTAGTGGATCAAATAGGGTTTTGGGCTACATAAGATCTGTAGGAACAGGGAAAGGAATTGACCTAACTGTCGCGAGTTAGTCGTCAGGGGTGCTCCGAAGGTCTGCATAATGCCCTACTCTCCTAAACCCCAGGACTCCTAAGCTGCACAAAACCCCCTACACCCCAAAACTTGAGCAGTCTTGTGAACTGCCGATCCAGGGGTCGTCAAACAGTTTGTGTAACAACGGTCTCATGGGATTCGCTTAAGGGGTTTGACTTCAGGTTTGAGGATTTTTAAAAACAGGCAGCAGGGCATGGGCCCACGGCAATATGGGACATGGGTTCGGATTCTAGCATGTGGGTTCGTGTGCTCGGCATTTTTTCAGCTTGCCCAAATGTCGACTTTTTCATCACCAGAAAAACAGTGTGCAAACATGTGGTGGCCAACAAACGCAGAGCATGTATTCGTCTTCTAATCATGGGAGAACTGGCAAATAGACGGGCCACTTGTGGAGTTCAAACATTTGAACCTGTAAACTCTATCCGTTTATTCAAGCCCACCAAGACTCTTAGAAAGAAACCCTCATAAAAAACTTGAAGATTCTATAAGACCCACTTATGCACTTATGAAGCCATCAAGAAAGCAAGTGCAAGAAGTCTTTTGGGCTCAAAGCACTCTGCAGGAGCTTTGGGCCCATCGCTGGCGCATGTGCCCTTTGGGGGTTGGCCAGGGATGCCTGGCTTCTCGGATGGCACATTTGGAGGTTTCCGAAAATTCGGGGTACCCTTTTGGGGGTCCTTATAAGGATCCTACTATGGGTACCATGTGATTAGGGTCCCCTTTTCTCGCTCCCATTTCGCTCCATTGAAGCTCTGGCTGTGTAGAAGAAGTATTCAACCATCCCTGCTAATAATAAGCAGCATTTGGTTGACAAAAAGTTCCGGACATCATAGAACCCAATGTGGATGAATTAGGCGTAGCAACGGCAAGCGCAAGAGCAGGAGCAACGGCAAGAGCAAGAGCAGCAGCAATAGCATTGTGAAGCATAGAAAGCAGGAAGAGAAAGAGCAAGGGCAAGAGCAGGAGGAACAGCAAGAGAAGGAGCTGCTTAGTATCCATGTAACCTGATCACACATCCTATCGCTGTGGCTGTCATCGCGGTGCTGTGACACACTATGGCTGGGATGACCTGCCGAGAATCCAGATGCAGCCGCTATGTGAGCAGCATCGCAGATATAGCTGAGGAAACGAATAAACGAGATGACGATGGGGGCTTGCAGATATTTCATACTGTCATGACATCTATAGGAATCATGGGATATGGCACTCTGCAGGCTTCTGATTCAGGCTGCATTTTATGCATCTCAGCCAAAACTTCTGTTCAAGCCTTAAAATCCAAGAACTTGCGCCCTTTGACTGGAGTCGGACTAAACCTTTGAACCTCAAGATTAGTGCATCATTCACCCCCGTACCCCAAGCTTGCAAGCCTTGTTTTGATTGTGCATGTGCAACCAGTTGCCGACTGCCCCGCTCTACCAAAAAGGACTTTACGACCCTAGGATTTTACAACGTCGAAGGCCACTTCGGAAACAAGGAGCTGGACAAGACAACTGATGCCCTCACGCCCAAGCATGCTAAACCAAAGCGTAACCCGCTTAGAAACGTCGGAGAGGCTCGTTAAAACCCCCATGAGTTTGCGAGCCCTATACATCCCTTTGAAGGAGCCCTACAGATCCCTGTAAAGAACCCTATTCCCTAAAAGGAGCCCTATAGATCCCTTTAAAGAACCCTATAAGACCTGAAAGGTCAGCCTCCATGGACTTGTCTTCGAACTCAGCGCCACGTTGCTTGGGTGGAATTTCGATGAACCGAATCCTAGTTTAGGGTTTAGGGTTTTGGATTTTAGTGGGGACCCGAATCCTACTGTATTGTGCGTTTGTGTGTAGAGCTTAGATCTGAAGTTCTACGATCTACCATTAGACCCTACACTGGTTGAGGGTCAAGTTGTAAGAAAATCGGCAGGGCATGGGCTCTCTTCCAGGTTCCAGCTATCCGCCACACGATGACTGCACATATTACTACCCCCTGGTGAGCATTAAAAGCTCTGAGGCCATGTGAACAGAGGAACCTCGCTGCTTATGGATTTGGTTCTTGGAAGTGATACCCAATTCCGTCCTTACATGTGTTGTTCCATGTCGAAAAGTTTCGTCTGCTTTAGTAACTGCAGTACCATTCTTGTATACGCTTGCCGAGTTGCCGACGCCTTGAGATCGCACCCAGCCCGGCAGGTTGAGCCAGTCGCAGCATCTGGAGTGTTCCCCATCAATGCACTTGGGTACCTACAGCTTGCATCCCCCAATCCTACTTCTTATAGGGTTCTTTAAAGAGATCTATAGGGCGCCTTTAAGGGAATAGGGTTCTTTAAAGGGATCTATAGGCCCAAAGCACTAAATACCATACGCCATGAGCAAGCAGACCTTAGCCAGCACAGACACGGTGGGGGCGAAGCTTCGGAGAAAGATTCCGGTCCAAACTCATGTACTGCGAAGGTTCGTACATGCACACGTGCATATCCAGGTGTTTTCGTATGCAGATATCTCAGATATGTATATACAGCCGCCGGGCAGACAGAGAGTTCGGTTGTTGCCTGCTAAACCCAACCCTCGGGCTTGAAATCAAGCACCAGTTCTGCTTTCAAGGCTTGGATCCTACATGCACTGCAGCCCTCATTTTTAGACACAGATCGACAGGATATAGATACAGACAGAGATACAGTAGATGCCAAGACAGATATAGTTATAGACGATATAGACAGCCAGATAGATAGATAGATAGATTGATAGTAGACAAAGAGATCGATCGGTAGAAACAGAGATTTGATAGACAAACATCAGCAAGTCAGAGTGTCAGTATCTAGGCATCCCAGTAAGCCCGTTCATATTGGTGTCACCAGTCTGCTCAGGTTCTTCGCAAGACATCCGGGAGGCACCCAGGTCCTCCGGGATGCCGCCGGATTCGATGCGTCCGGCCCTGATCAAGGGTTTAAGGGTTTAGGGTTTAAGGGTTTACGGTTTAAGGGTTTAAGGGTTTAGGGTTTCAGGGTTTAGGGTTTAAGGGTTTAAGGGTTTGGGGGTTTAGGGTTTAGGGTTTAAGGGTTGAAGGGTTTAAGGGTTTAGGGTTTAGGGTTTAGGGTTTAAGGGTTTAAGGGTTTAGGGTTTAAGGGTTTAGGGTTAAGGGTTTAGGGTTTTAGGGGTTTTAGGGGTTTTGGGGATCCCAGATTGGTGTGCTAAATGAAGCAGCACGAACAAGTAAACCGAAACTGATCGTAAGAACTGTGTTCGTATCAAGAACACTTTTTTCAACACGCGACTGAAACCGAATATTGAGATGAAAAATTACCAGTGACAAGAGTGGAAAGTCGCAACGATAGAACAGACCAACCAGCATGTGTTAACGAAGGATCGACGGACGACCAGAAGAGCAGTAAACCCCCTAAACCCTGCGAGCACTCGAAGCCACAAAAAACCCTCAATCTGACGAGCTACACCCCGAAACCCTTCCCGGCCTCCGCTTCTCAGGACGGCAAGCTTCGAGGCAGCGGGCCACTCCGAGCGTGCGCGTCGTTGGGCGGACGAATTCGCTGTGGGCCGCCGGGCTGCCTGTTGAGAGGAGATTTCCGTTTCAATCGTGTTTCTTCGGCCTGGGTTTTCCTATGAAGGTGGTTATAGACACTGAAGAGAGTCTAGACGGTTCTTGCAGATCAGGTGCGTTCTTGTTGTGTGTGTTCTGTTGGCTGCTATCTGTTGCTTCCATGTCGCGATTCATTGCACCCGAAGCACTGAGCTGCCTCAAAGGTACAATGGCCGCCCGAGACATACCTACAATGCTACATGAATCCTCCGTAATCCTCATCATAGTCATTAGCGGGGACTTAGGTCCAGTGGTCGCGTCACTGACTCCCAAGTTGGTCTAATGCTCCCAAGACCCCAAAGCCTGCGACAAGTAGCTTCAGCAAGGGTCTGATGCGGGGATTTCGGTTTTCAGTCGCTACCAGGTACCTTCATGGTAGGTTACTACGTAGCCACAAACTATACAATCCAGTATCCAACTGCTTGGGTAAGTGGACCCCCCCCCCCAGGGAATTACAGTGGCTTTAGGGTTGCACGACTCAGGCTATTGCCCGGATGTCTATGGAAAGGCCCACCGGCGAAGGGCAAGGGCTGCCTCGAGCGAGATCCTTAGATAGACCCTACCGACTCCACCAGGAGGCATCTACAAGAAATATGAGTTCTGAATTCGCATACATCGTCAGGTCTTAATTATCTTAATTGAACGTTGTCAATCAGAACACGGTTTGGAGTTTGTTGTGGGGTTTGCATTAGTCTTCAAGGTTGGTAGAAAGCTGCCAAATGGAGCCTACCGAGCAAGACGATTTCTGTTTTTCGTGGCGGAGATATACAGATCGCTGGCTGACCCAGGTTCAGCTAGCCATCCGGAATCGAAGAAACCACATCGTGAGGTAGAGGCAAGTTTGTGTGGGAGGGGTTTTTGGCTCTTCAGCCAGCCCCTCTCCAAAAACACCCTAAGCCGAAAGATTTGAGTCGGAGGACATTCCATGCTCGCTATCTCGGTCACTGGCCCGGGCCTTTTCCCTGAGCTGGCAAGTTCTTTATGTACGGCTGGACAGTTTCTGATTTTCTGGTTTCGGATTCATGTTCTGAGGTGTAGGGCAGGGTGTTGTATAAGACAGGCCGGTGTCACAGTTAGGGTCTTCAGGGTCCAGAGAAGTGTTGGCAGTTCTTTTTGGGTTTCTCATTCAGGTCTAGCGGTTAGGAAGTACTTCCGCTTCTGCGCTAATTGGTGGGTTCGTGTCGCAAGTCCGGCGTTTGTAGTTGCATGTCTCAAAGGGTTCCCGGGTGCTGAGGATTTTCTGAATATGGGAGTTTCCGAAAAATAGGGGGACCCTTATATAGTACCCTAAATAGTAGGATCCTTATTATAAGGAGCCCAAAATAAGGCACCCCTAGTTTTCTGAAACTCCCATATGTGCCTTTCGGACATCGGGTTCCCGGATGTGGAGTTTACATATACCCAGACCTTCCAAAATCCCTTAATTAAGGAATATACCTTAATTCATATTTGGGATCCTATTATAATTTAAAGTATATTCCTTAATTAAGGGGTTTTGGAAGGTCTGGGTACCTGGAGCCCCGAAGGCTCCAAATAATGCGAATTGCACGAGGTGTTTGGCTTCTGGAGTTCTAGACTGACCCATAGGCCCCATAGTAGTTCCTTTTTGGGGATACCTTATAGGATTCTATATATGAACCACGATAAGGAACTACTTTGGGGCCGGTGAAAGCTGCAAGGTGTCTTCTGCAGAAGGGTCAAGTTGTTGAGCCTCCCGAAACCTCTGCGTCCCGTCCCATGAGCCATAAACCCAGGCCTACAGGAGTTGCCTACGTCTCAGCCGTTTGCTGGACTCTATGGGGTTGGGGCCCTGAGACAGGGTCTAGCTTAGTTTAGTGGCTGAGTCGATGGCCGTTGTATAAGTTGTTCGGGAAGATATATCTCATGTTCTACCTATCTAGCTTCCTAGCTATCTAGCTCTTTCTGTATGTACCCATCTGAATGAACCTATCTACCTATCTATCCAGCCATGTGTTTTTCTATCTATGTAACTATCATATATTTTCCATGTATCTATCGGTTTATCTGTCTGAAGGGACTTCTAAAGATGCTCGAGCCATACAACAGATATGTATATGTGTGCATACACATGTCCAGCCAACATAAACAGTGACGCACAGAATAGGGGGTTTAGGGTTACTATATACCGCCCAAACCCTAAAAGCCGGTGTAGTGTTTGCAGTGTTTTTGGAGTTGAGGGATGTAGGCTTAGTAGGCTCTTGGCATGGGGCCTGCGATCGAGGTGGCAGAAGGTGCCTCTTTGTCTGTAAAATATATGTCCACGGCAGGACAGACCATGCGACCTCTTTCTACTGAGTAAGGTGAACATGTTTATCGGACCCGACTGAGTAGCGTCAGTGGGAGCCAGATGTCGGTATCTCCCGCACAACATGGTGCTCCAAGCCTGTGAGCATGTTTGTTGTTTGACCCTCTTGCCTTTGCAACACGGATCCCGAAATCTTGACTGCACCAAGTCCGCTTGTGAACCGCACATTACATGATAGTTGCTGAGCGAACTCTGGTGCCACGATATCGGCACGGACCCCAAGTTGGACAACCCTCGGCCATAAACCCTTTGACTTAAGACCAAGAAATCCGAATTCCTCAGCCGTAGAGCGTGAAACCCAAGACCCAAGACCCGGGACCCTCAAAACCCCAACAGCAACCCAAGCCTTTTGCTTGCTCTCAGGTGCCGCCCATGCTGCCGCAGGCGGAAGTCTCGCGCAAAAAAGTTGGCCCGCGTCGGATTGGCCTTGAACTTGTGCGAGAAAGTCCCCAAAGCACGGTAGAAACATAAGGATCCTATACAGGGGCCTTACGAGAATTGTGGTGTAGTGTACCCCAAACCTTCATCAACTTATTGATGCCATTCTGCCGTTGTACTAGTTTGGTTTGGTGTACCTGCCCGAGCTGTCGGTTTGCCAGGAACCGTGTAACCTGAGGGCCTCATACTTGTGTTGTCTTCGGGCTGTCAAATCCCCTCTAGTCCTGCACTGGTCTCGGTCGCAAGCATGCAGCGTCCGCAGTCCTTTCAATCCTGAAACCTGACCCCTAAACTCCTAAACCTTATATAATTCCTAGTCTCCAGACCCGACACACACACACAGAGTCGGAAAGCCTGCCCCGCCGTATCTAAGGCGGGCCTTGAGTCGCTTCACACAAGATATGGTGACTAACTGCTGTTACTGTTGATGATATAACTCCTGCATTACCTTACTGTAAGGACCCTAGACTACTGGATTTATGGTATATTCCTTATTATGGGTAGTGCAGGGTTTATATCATCAACCGTATCACAGTGCACGCTGTGGGTAGAAAACAAATGGGCAAGTGGAAGGACCACCAGTCTTCCATTCATCATGCTTCGGGTCAAAACCAAGAGATTTTGCAGGTGTCGGCGACGAATACCCCTGATGTTACATGGCCACACGAAGCAGTCAGCGTCAGTAATGAAAACTAAAATGCATAGATTGCCGGCCGAAGACAATACCGTCTCCAGCAATGGCAACAGTTCAGAGCACCTCTCTGAGTCGTAGGGTAGAGTTTAGAGTGGATTTAGGGTTCAGGGTAAGATTACTGTAGGTTTTCCGCTGAATACAAGGAATAAGGGTACCCTTGCCATGACCTCGAGGAACCCATGCTGTTTGCAAAAAACCTCACACCTCGAGCGGACCATTTTCGGCAAATTTCAGAAGGAAATGCCGTGCCGAAACGCAAGTTCTCTCAGAGTCAGGGGAAATCCGTTCCTACGCAAGCACACCTGTGTTCCTAGGCTCTATATAAAACTTAAACCCCAAAGCCCCGAAAGCACCAGTTAGTGAAGAGGATGCTCGCCACCTGATGCATCTCCCATCTTGGGGTTTCTGAGCTTTGCACCTGCCATGGCAGCGGCAAATCCGTTGCATGCCGATCAGGCACCCGGACCCAGGGACTAGGGCTTGGGGTCCTTAACTACAACCTTTCAACCCTGAACCCCAAATCACAGTCCCTAAACCTCATAAGCTCTGAACTCAATCCTTGGTTCCCATCCGTGTAATGAAAGCCCAACAGCCCAAGTGCGGAAATGTTTTGTAATTGCAGCTAATTCTGTGTATGTAGAAAGCTCATGTGTTCGAGCTTCGTGTGTATCGCGTCTACTTCTACGGACTTAGAGTATTCGGTTCAAGGTTCCGAGTGTACAGGTTTAGCTGTTTAGCTTCAAGGCTAGAGGTACATCTTTGAACTGTCCTGTCATTGTTTGTCCAACTCCCCGTACCTCGGAGCCCTCGTATGCAGGTCTGGAAGCACACCTTGGAAAAAGAGCTGGATGCATGGTGCTTTCAACAATTAGGCGCGCGGATCCACAGGGTTCCCTACTGCTATGCCGGGCTATTTTTAGCGACCTTAGCATTAGCAACATGAAGGTTCAGGTAGAAGAAAGTCAGGTTTGGCTAGCCCTGAGGCCTGCAATCTACAGCGTTTCAATCCTGCGCCCTCAACCCCAACAAGCTTGAGTCGCGTGCCAGAACTGTGGTACTCGTTGTCAAGTTCATGATGTACTTCCGCCCACTCCCACGCCCCTTACTCCTACTCCCACTCCTACTCATACTCCTACTACAACTACTACTACCACTACTACTACTCCTGCTGCTACTACACTACACCACTGCCACGAGGACGACGACGACGACGACTACTACTACTACTAACAACAACAACAACAGCAGCAACAACAACAACAACTACTACTACTACCATTACTACTATTACTACTACTAGTTCTCCTACTACCACTACTGCTAGCACTACCAGTACGACTGGTGTGCATTGCGAGCGACAGTGGCAGAGACAGACAGAAATTCTTAAGCACTAAACTTAAAAATGCCCTACACGCGAGAGAGAGAGGTATCCCAAAACATGCGTCGTTGGAGACTCTGCGGATGTCCAAGGACTCGGCTTGAATCGTGTCTGGGAGGCTATTGGTTACCCTAAGGCCCCAAAGTAGTTCCTTTTTGGGGTTCGTATATAGAATCCTATAAGGTAATCCCAAAAAGGAACTACTTTGGGGCCTATGGGTAGGGTGCAGGCTCCGAAGTTTAGGGTGCATGTGGTCTACGGACAGTTGGCGCAGTCAACATTACACAGCAGAACCATGCAAGTCTACCCCACCTGTCCACAGAGCCACCCTTTTAGATTGAACATTTGGTGCCTCTCATTTTGAGATGGATTCACGCTGCGTCGCTTGCGCATGGGGTTTAGTGTTTAGGGTGGAGGCATACTTGGAATGCATGTACCAGGATACGAGATTGCCAGCCTGATCGCCTTCATGTCAAGAACCTCATGTTCGAACAACTTGTGAGCTACCACTTTCGATGCACTGAGAGCTTGTCTTGGAGCACAAACCCTAAACTTTATAGGTCCCTAGCAAAAGCACCATGGATTTTGTAAAGCAGGGCTGCAGGAATTCTGCTAGAGCATTCTTCGTCGCCCATCTATCTCTTGAGCACTTCGAATCTTGGACGTCGCCCACCGGCTTGAGCCTATAAACCCTAAACTCCTGAACCCTAAACTTCAGAAGCCCTAAACCCTAAACTCTTAAACCCTAAACCCGACCAGCTTGAAATCAAGCACAGCAGGAGCCTTCGCTGCCGAAGATGCCTTCTGTGGGCCAGGAGGCCACCGGAACCCGCCCTGCCCAATCTGTCCGAGACCGTCAGCTGAAGACCCCTCTGCTGTTGGGGTAAAGATCTTACCTTTGGTTAGTAGGGAATGGAGGAACGGGGTACAATCACAGCTACTATTTCGACCAGTCTTCCATTCCCTGTTAACCAAGGCTAAGAGACCTGAGCAATTATGTGAAGCACAACTTGCCGGCTTGGCCTTCTCGCCTTGACTGAGGTTGTGATCCAAGGCTCGAGGAGAAGGCCTGCTAGAAGCGAAGTGGCCTGACGTGGGGCTTGATTCTACTGATGCTTTCTACTGATGCTCTGGGTGTTGTGAACACTTCGGAACTTGGGATTTCTGCTAGACGCCGCCTTCGATCATCACCATTTTCGCCACGATGGACCAGCAGCAGCAACACCTGATCATCGTGAATCTTGGAGCATCATTCCCAGTCTCCTCATCGGAGATTGTGATCACCACCAGAACCGTCAGTGTCACCATCAACAGCACTACTGTCATGATGATTATCATTACCATCAGAATCATCACCATCATCATTATCAGCCACATCACTCCTTTCCGTCAATGTCACCTTTTCTGAAGCCAGTGCCTATCGTGGGCTCGAGACTGTTCGCGGAGGCCAGAGCTCAATGGTCTCAAGGCAGAAGTCTTGGATGACAGTCGGTGCCTTAGTGTCTTAGGGGTTTAGGATGGTTTAGGATTTAGGGCTTAAGCTTTAGGGTTTCGCTAGATTGAGTAATAGAGACGTTTGTGCGGCTAACTGAAGCTCAGCCCTTGACCCCTGTATTCCCTCAAACCCGAAGGCCGAGGAAGCAGCTCAGCTTCGAGAAAAAATGCCGTGGAATCTCGAGTTCTCGACCTTTCCGACACGTCTGTACTCGATAAGTCTCTTTGCCCGAGCCAAAGACTGTAAAGTCAAAGCAGTACCAAGCCTGTGGTAGACTGAAGATGTTCTGCAACAAAATCCCAAGCTTGGCTGCTGATTTCAGAGATGCAGCGTTGGGTTTGCAGTAACTTCGACTTTCTTGCTGGAGGGCATTCGCTTTGGAGATGTTGGAACTGCGATTGTGTGGGCCTCATCGCATACGAGGTTGTCTAAGTCTAAGATTGAAACTAGAGGTTGGGGTTTCTCTGCATAATTACTCTGAGATCATCTGCAGTATGTCCAATTCCATCGCTCTGTTTGCCCCGAAGTACAGGCATCGACAAGGCTGGGCGCGTAACCATCCGCGTCTTCCGCCCAAATGACTTGTATCCTGGCGGCATCGGCATTCGATTTACGGGTCTCTTCAAGATTTCAGGCAGATGGGCGTGTGTGTGCGTATGGGGGGAGGGGGTGGGAAGGGGTGTTATGGCAGTTTTGCGCGCCTGGGGCTTCTGGTCTGACTCCGCTTTTGAATAACTTTCGGTTCGATTCTCAAGAGTAGGTTATTGTTGGCTTGCTGTGGGTGTGGTATCGCCTTTCCTAGTGCACAGCAAAGTCAGTCTTGATACTGCAAGCACAAAGCCGCCTTTGTTGCTTGGGTATTCTGAGCAGCAAAGCTGTACAGGCCCCGAGGCCCCCAGCATTGCAGACTTCCAGCCGAGCTCAAGAGCCGGAATGTTACTGTCACCACGGTCCTGCAGCCCCTACACAGCTAGGACAGTCTACCACCGCAAAACAGACCCATAGTTGGATCAAATATAGAGGCGAGTAGACGGCTGATTGTGGTCACAGTTAGTGCCCCACGACTATCCGAATTACATGGCACCGGCTTCTCTGCATCATGGTCCTTGTCCTGGTTCTTGCTTGCAAGCAACGGCTCCAAAGAAAAGCACCGCAAGCATCACTGCGACAGGCATAAAGCAGCCCTTGTTGTTGGCTTCAGGAGAGTTACTCGTCAATTCACAGTCCACCCTCTAAAGCCAGAGACAACACTCAAAGCGAAAAAACCCTAAACCCCAACCCCTATAAAAACCTAAACCCTAAAGAATCAGAGCGGAGGAATCGCGAAGGCAAAGGTTCGCGAAGGCCTGCCTGCAAATTGTCCCGGGGTAATTTCGGATCGCCTGTGCATTT